TCAAAAAAAAAAAAAAAAAAAAGAGGGAACCCAGTACCTGAAGGGGCTGAGAGGTAGAGAGTTATTGCCTCTCGGGGGGCACTGTCCCTCTCCTCCCACTGAAAAAACCTCCTTCCAGAACCCAGAGGCTACAGCTACTTGGCTGTCAAGAACCTCACTCCAGATCCTGTCCAGATGTTTATGGCAGATACTGTTGCTCATGTTGCATGTTTGTGCTGGAGACATCTCAAGTGATTATGCATTTTTAATTATGTCAGCAACACAGGAATACATTCTTATTTTAGACATCATCCATGAGACTAAAGGTGGTTGATGGTGGGCCATGGAGTCTGCTTCCTGTGTCTTTACTCACAGTTGTTTCTAATCCCAGATTTGATGCATAAGTTCACCTCCAAATGCAACCCTTGCCCCACAGCTCTCTGAGTTCCCAAGGAAGTGGGGTCTCCTTTCTGTTTCAGACCTGAGCCTCAATCTCAGACCCAAAATTCTAGTGGCTTCTCTGAACTCTGCCAGTAGGAAAAGGCATCTCTCCTTCCCCCCAGCCCCAGCAGATATTCTGATGAGGAATTCCTGGCTTCTCTTTCCATCCCTCCCTGTTGATCTTTACCTGTTTTTTCCCACAAAGTCTCCACTGTCTAGGCAGTGCACATTGTCGGGCAGTGCACATTGTCTGAGGGCACACATTTATCTTACACCTGCTTGGAGCCAGACCTGATACAAAGTGCTTTATGTGCACATACTTCTCTGACTGGCACAAGTTTATCCTTCTCTCCATTTCCCAGATAAGGAAGCTGAGGCTTGGAGAGGTTAAGTAACTTGCCTCCAAATCCAGATCCTTAAGACACAGTATCAGAGGCAATGTTCCTACAACCTTCTGGCTGGCCTGCATTAGAATCACCCAGTGATCCTTATAAAAATGGATACTCCGGGGCCCCACCTCAGACCTATAGAATTGGAGTCTTGTGAGGCAGGGCACCCACAAGTTTTGAGAGGAACCTAGTTCCTCCTTCTATGATGGACTGGAGGGTGCTGCATTCTCAGATGGCAAAATAGTCTAGGTCCCCGCCCTGCAGGGTCCCGGATAGGACTGACTGGCAGATGAAGGGGGGAAGGGTTGGAGTTGAGGTTGGTGGCCCCAGGGGTCATGAGAGCCCTGCTGACCATTGTTTCCCCCCACCCTCAGTTCCGGGAGGACCTTCAGGACCTGCTGCCGTCCCTGCCCAATGCTGATGACCACTTCCTCCTGCGCTGGCTTCGAGGTGAGGCTGGTGGGGGTGGGGGAGGCAGAGAGGGAGAAAGGGAAGGAGAGGGAGGGGTAGAAGACAGTGCTGCAGAGAGTGAAGAGCACGGGCTCTGGAGTCAGCCTGCTCAGGGCTAGAGTCTGAGCTCCCTGAACATGAGCACAGCACAGACTCCCTCCCGGCTTCAGTGGCTTCAGTGTCTTCACTGGGACTTTGGGTGGTTACAGTGTCTAAGTAAGGTTGCAGTTCACAACTGGGAGGTCTTCAGGATCTAGCTGGCCAGGCTTTGAGTCAGATATCACTGAGCACTGTCTTTAATACTTGCCTTTGAGTCTATCTCAGTCCCCAGAAAACAGGGCTGTAGTCGTCCCCTTAAGAAATCCAGGTCCCCTAGGGCACTGAGCAGGTGCCCAGCAAACACTTAAGGAAGTAGACTTGATGAAAGGTACAGGAGTTTCTTCTAAGAATTACAGCAACAGTTTAGAAAAATAGCAACAGAAACAACCCTAGGGCTTAGGGAAAAACTCATTTTAACTCATCACACCCCAAGGAATGGATCTTGAACTTGATGGGAGAGAAGTAGGGAATCAGCTCAGAAGGTGTACACACAGTGCAGGTGTACACACAGTGCCGGCCTAGGAATCAGGCAGAGCTGCAGTTGAATAGCAGTGTGCCAGTGACAAGTCCTACATTGTCTCTCAACCTCAGTTTCCTGTCCTGTACAGTGGGTATCATATGAGGTCTATCAGTTAAGTTCACGAACTCATCCTAGAAAAAGTACTACATACCTCATTGCTGAATATCACTATGGTGATTCAAAGTATCCCCCTTGGGAAGCTATGCACCCACACTAGCTCCTAGTCCACCTATCAAAGCAATTTTGGAACTCTTTTTCTGGAATGGCCATCAGAGCTGTTGTCGCAAGAATGTCAGAGTTTGAATTAGAGCAACGAACAAACATTAAATTTCTTGATAAACTCCGCAAGAGTGGTAGTGAAATCAAGGACATGTTAGTCCAAGTTTATGGGGATAATGCCATGAAGAAAACGGCAGTGTACAAATAGATTAAACATTTTTCTGAGGGGAGATGAAGAGAGGTTAGTACAACCAGTAACAGGCGGAATAAATGAAGACATTGCAAAAATTCACCAAACTGTGCATCAAAATCGTTGACTAGCTGTGAAAAGCATAGAAGACCAAATAAACATTGATAGAGAAACAGTTAGGAAAATATTAACTGAAAGTCTTGGCATGAGAAACATGTGTACAAAAATGGTCTTGGAGGAACTCTTGCATCATGACAATGCACCAGCTCACACAGTTTTTAGTCAGTAACCAAATAACTGTATTGGAACACTCCCTACTCACCTGATTTGGCCCCTGATGAATTTTTTCTCTATCTGAAGATATAGAAAATATTGAAAAGATGACATTTGATGACATTCAGGACATCAAGGGTAATACGATGACAGCTCTGATGGCCATTCCAGAAAAAGAGTTCCAAAATTGCTTTGATGGGTCCATATGTTTGTCCTTCTTTGTGGCTGCATAATATTCCACTGTATATTTGTACCACATTTTTTTTAGCCAGTCCACCTTCGATGGGCAGCATGGTTGGTTCCATGTTTTTGCTATTGTGAAAAGAGCTGCAACAAACATGCGTATGCAGTTATCTTTTTGGTAGAATGATTTGCGTTCCTCTGGGTGTATTTCAGTAGGGGGATTACTGGGTCATATGGAAGGTCAATTTCTAGTTCTTTCAGAAATCGCCACACAGTCTTCCAAAGAGGTTGCACTAGTTTGCATTCCCACCAGCAGTGTAGAAGCATTCCTTTTCCTCTGCATCCTTGCCAGCATCTGTTGTTGTTTGTTTTGTTAATGATGGCCATTCTTACTGGGGTTAGGTGGTATCTAAATGTGGTTTTGATTTGCATTTCTCTGATGATTAGTGAGGTTGAGCACTTTTTCATGTGTCTACTGTTTACCCGTGTTTCTTCTTTTGAGAAGTGTCTATTCATGTCTTTTGTTCACTTTTTAATGGGGCTGTTTGTTTTTTCTTTTCGGGCGCATTTGAGTTCCTTGTAGATCCTAGATGTTAGGCCTTTGTCAGATATACAGTTGGCAAATATTTTTTTCCCATTCTGTGGGCTGTCTCCCTGCTCTCTTGATGGTTTCTATTTCTTTTGCTTTGCAGAAGCTCATCAGTTTGATGAGGTCCCACTTGTCTATCTTATTTCTTATGATATGGGCACTTAGGGTTCTGATCAGGAATTGGTTGCCAGTTCCAATTTCCATAAGGTTGTCTCCTGTGTTTTCTAAGATTCTTATAGTTTGAGGTTTTATGTTTAGGTCTTTGATCCATTTAGAGTTAATTTTTGTGTATGGTGATAGATGGGGTCCTGTTTCAATCTTCTGCATGTGATCAGCCAGTTTTCCCCAGCACCATTTACTGAATAGATTCTCGTCTTCCCAGTGGTTGTTGTTGGAGGCTTTGTCAAAGATGAGTTGGTTGAGAAATTGAGACTTTACTTCTGGAATCTCTATCCTGTTCCTTGTTCCAATACCAGGCTGTTTTGATTACTGTAGCCTTATAGTAAAGTTTGAAGTCTGGAAGTGTGATACCTCCTGCTTTGTTTCTTTTGCTAAGGATTGTTTTGGCTATTCGTGGTCATTTATGTTTCCATATGAATTTCTGTATTGTCATTTCCAGGTCTGTGAAGAATGATGTTGGTAATTTAATGGGTATTGTGTCAGGACAATTTTTTTTTTTTGGTTGGAGTCTCACTCTGTCGCCCAGACTAGATTGCAGTGGCACGCTCCCGGCCACCGCAGCCTTGACCTGCTGGGCTCCTGCGATCCTCCTGCCTCAGCCTTCCAAGTACCCAGAACTACAGGCATGCACTACCACACCCAGCTAATTTTTTTAATTTATTTATTGTAGAGACGAGGTCTCACCAAGTTGCCTGGGTGGGTCTCGAACCCACGGGCTCTGGCAATCCACTTGCCTCAGCCTCCCAAAGTGCTGGGATTACAGGCTGAGCCACCGAGGCAGGCCAAGACAATTTTTTAAAAACAAAAAATCTAAGCCCATTTAACTTATTAATGTTGATATAAAGTAGTCAAAATAGACTGGGCGCAGTGGCTCAGCCTGTAATCCCAGCACTTTGGGAGACCGAGGTGAGAGAATTGCCTGAGCCCAGGGATTCGAGACCAGCCTGGGCAATTTGGTGAAACCTCATCTCTACAATAAATCACAAAAACTAGCTGGGTGTGGTGGCGTGCATCTGTAGTTCCAGCTAATTGGAAGGCTGAGGTGGAAGGATTGCCTGAGCCCAGAAGGTCGAGGCTGCAGTGGCCTTGAGCGTGCCACTGCACTTCAGCCTGGGAGACAAATGTGAGACTCCAACTAAAAAAAAAAAAGTCAAAATAAATATTACATAATAGAATCCAATAAGGCATTAAAATTATGCAGCATGATCAAGGAGAGTTTATCTTGGGTATGCAAAAATAGTTCAACATCAGAATATCTGTCAATGTCATTTAAGACACTAATAGTTATAAATTAAACATTATATGGCTATCTCAATTAATGCAGAAAAAGCATTTGAAAAGGTTCAGATCTTATTTATAAGATAAAACAGGCCAGTCACAGTGGCTCACGTCTGTAATTGCAGCACTTTGGGAGGCTGAGATGGGAGAATTGCTTGAGCCCAGAAGTTCGAGACCAGCGTAGGCAACATAGCAAGACTACATCTCTACACACAAAAAAATTTTTTTGAGTTGGGAGTCTCACTCTGTCGCCCAGACTGGAGTGCAGTGGCATGCTCCCGGCCACCGCGGTCTCGACCTACTGGGCTCCGGTGATCCTTCCACCTCAGCCTTCCAAGTAGCTGAAACTACAGGTGCGCGCTACCATGCCCAGCTAATTTTTTATTTATTGTAGAGACAAGGTCTCGCTAAGTTGCCCGGGCAGTTCTCGAACCCGCGGGCTCAGACAAATCCACTCTCCTCGGCTTCCCAAAGTGCTGGGATTACAGGCTGAGCCACCAATCCTGGCCCCCAAAATTTTTTTGAAAACATTAGCCAGTTGTGGTGGTGCACACCTGTAGTCTCAGCTACTGAGGTGGAAGGGTCACCTAAGTCCAGGAGGTCAAGGCTGTGGTGAATCGTGATCACGCCACTGCACTCCAGTGTGGGTGACAGAGTGAGATCCTGAATCAAAAAAATAAAATAAAAAGACAAAACAAAAAGTCCTATCAATTTAGGGATAAAAGGGAGTTTCTTTGACTTGGTAGAGGTTAGTAGCAAAAATCCTGACTGTGCTGCAGTGGCTAAGAAGGCAGCTGTGGTGGCAGGAGCAGTGGCAGAGGCAGCAACGGAGGAGACAGAAGATGGCACATTTTTTTAAAGGATTGACTGTCGGCCGGGCATGGTGGCTCATGGCTATAATCCCAGCACTTTGGGAGGCCGAGGTGAGAGGATTGCCTGAGCTCCCGGGTTCAAGACCAGCCTGGTCAACTTGGTGAGACCTCACCGCTACCATAAATCAAGAAAAACTAGCTGGGCGTGATGGCACATGCCTGTGGTTCTAGCTACTTGGAAGGCTGAGGCGGAAGGATTGCCTGAGCCCAGCAGGTCAAGGCTGCGGTGACCATGAGTATGTCACTGCACTCCAGCCTGGACGACAGAGTGAGACTCTGACTCAAAAAAAACAACAAACAAACCAATGGATTGCCTGTCTACAACAAAAGCAACTTCAGCTGATTTCACGTCTCAAACTGATGCTCTTCAATCAACCTGCCCATGCTACAGTAACCATCTGAGTAGATCATCGTGACAGAAAAGACGATCATCCCCCTGTGCTACCTACATCAGCAAGGAGACAAAACGAAGCCGCCAAGAAAAGAGATCAGGAGCAGGGGCAGGTTCAAAGGCGAGAGTTCGGTGCCTCCCCACAAGGTGGCACGGACCGACAGTGGGGGCAGTCACGGGGACACTTAAGACTCACGCGCCCCTCAGACCTCCTGTCCTGCCTGCTCTTCCACTGCCCACCCACCCATGTGTGTAACCATCTGCCCACCCCCCCTGCCCTCCACCCTCACCATCCATACCACTTCCAACCTCATAGGAGCTGATGTATTTATTTTCTTGGGTTTTATTTGCACTGTAACATGTATCAAGCGTTGGTTAAAGAGAACGACAGGAGTGTGATGTTGGTAGATGCTTCTTTTTATTTTTAACTTTTAATTTTTTTTATTTTAAAGATGTGGGGTCCAATTCAGGGTTAGGTATACAAATGTTCATTATGCAGGTACCCTTGTTGATGAGGGGTGCCCCCCCACCCCAGACAGAATCCCACATAGATGCTTCTTAAACATCAATGTTGTTCCTCCCCTCCCCCAGCCAGTTCTACCCCTCCTGCCCCCCACCCCAATTCTCTAGGGAACCAAAGCGTGTCTGAGGGTCTCTAGCTGGGGACCCTGCTGGGCTGGTCAAAGAACAGGGGCTGGCGACCTTGTCCACCCAGACAGCTGAGCAGCCCTCACCCCTCCCACCACTTGTCCCAGCCTTTGAAACTCTGCTTGGTCCCACGTTCCACCTGAATGAGTCCATGCCCAGACCCAATAAAAGGATCGTTCAATTCTCTAACAAATGTTATGCTGAAGGAGAAGTTTTAGATGTATTTTCTTTCTTTTTTTTTTTTGAGTTGGAGTCTCACTCTGTTGCCCAGGCTGGAGTGCAGTGGCACGCTCACAGCCACCATAGCCTCCACCCTCTGGGCTCAGGCGATTCTTCCAGACATCAAAATCAATAGCATTTCCATGCAGCAGTATCAAACTGTAAAATATAATGAAAACCCTACACCATTCAAAATAGCAACAATGCCCATAAAATATCCAGTTTACTAAAATAATCTAGAACACATAAGACCTGTAGAGCAAAAATCTTAAAATCCCTGAAGTATACAGAACTGCTCTGTTCCATTTGGTAGCCTCTAGCCACATACAATATAAAGTTAAATAAAACTTCAGGTCTTCAGTGACACTTGTCACATTTCAATTGCTCCATAGCCACAGGTGGCTACCATAATGAGCAGCTCAGCTACAGGACATTTCTATCTTCACAGGAAATTCTATTGGATGGCATTCACACCAAAGATGATTTTAGTAAATACATAGCCCAGGGCAAAGATCAGGCACGTGAACTTGATGGCTTGTCTTCAAATATTTGCAGAACTGCCATGTTGACAAATGATTACATATATATTTGTTTGACTTCTGATGATAAGGGTGGAATCATTGTGGGGCAGATTTGGGTTTAGTCAAAGATGCTAAGGAATGGAATGGGCTGCCTGTTGAGGTAGTGAACTCCCCATCATGGGAGATAATCAAGGCTGAGCTGGTGGCAGTGGTAGTTATTTCTGGAGGTGGATCAGCCTATAATCCTGGCACTTTGGGAGGCCGAGGTGAGTGGATTGCCTGAGCTTGCGGGTTTGAAACCCACCCGGGCAACTTTGCGAGGCCTCATCTCTACAATAAAATAAAAAATTAGCCGGGTGTGGTGGCTCACGCCTGTAGTTCCAGCTACTTGGAAGGCTGCCACTGCACTCCAAGTCTGGGCAACAGAGTGAGACTCCAACTCAAAAAAAGAAAAAAGAAAATCTATGACCCTGCAGCTTGGTGCAGTCCCATCAGTGGACAAATTCCTCAGTGGTTCAGTGGTCTCAGAGAGCAACAGCCATAGCGTTTCTAAAATAGAGCATCTGGCCTGGTGTGATGGTTCATGCCTATAATCCCAGCACTTTGAGAGGTTGAGCCAAGATGATTGCTTGAGCCCAGGAGTTTGAGACCAGCCTGGTCAACATAGCGAGACCTACAAAAAATACAAAAGTTACTCAGGCGTGGGGGCACACACCTGTAGTCCCAGCTACTTGGGAGGCTGAGGTGGAAGGATTGCCTGAGCCCAAGAGGCTGTGGTGAGCCATGATTGTGCCACTGCCCTCTAGCCTGGGTGACAGAGCAAGACTCTAACTCAAAATAAATACAAGACTGGGCATGGTGGCCCAGTCTGTAATCCCAGCACTTTGGGAGGCCAAGGCAAGAGGATGGCCTGTGCCCGGGGGTTTGAGACCAGCCTGGGCAACTTGGTGAGACCTCATCTCTACAATAAACTACAAAAACTAGCTGGGCATGATGGTGTGAGTCTGTAGTCCCAGCTACTTGGGAGGCTGAGGTGGAAGGATCACCTAAGCCCAGCAAGTTGAGGCTACGGTGTCTGTGAGCGTGCCACTGCACTCCAGCCTGGGCTACAAAGAGTGAGACTCCAACTCAAAAATAAATACATAAATAAATACATACATACATACAAAAGTAAATAAATAAAATAGCATCATGTTGTCAATTAGAGTGTATCTATTTCTTCAAAATAAGTAATCACAACAATAGCTACTGTTTAATTGAGAACCTACTGTAAGCCAGATACTACGCCAAACACTTTATATATTTTATCTCATGCTGTCTTTTAATAACTGAAAAAGACATTGTTCTCATTTAACTGGTTTTTAAAAACTCAGGCTCAGAGAAGGTAAGTGACTTGTTCAAGGTTGCATGGGAAACAAAAAGGCAAAACTAGAATTCAAGCCCAAGTCTGTGTGATTCTAAATCTCAGGCTCCTCGCCACCCCTAACACTCTTGGGGGCTCTGCTCCCTGGAGGGACATCAAATAGCCCAGGCTAGATTGGCCTCTAGAACAAATAGCTTTAGAAGAATTGGAAACTGAAAGCAAGGACCCTCCGAAGTCCTCTAGAAGATTAAAGATCCTTTTTAAAAATCCTTTCTAGCTCCTAGGTGTATTCTCGTAGTGTCAGGAAAAGGCTGGGGACAACCTCACTATTCCCTCGTGAGTTTTCAGGGAACAGCTCATTCTAGATCTTGCCTTAAGCCTCTTTCTGCCTCATCTTCTTACAGCTCGAAACTTTGACCTGCAGAAATCTGAGGACATGCTCCGGAAGGTGAGGCTTCATTATCCCTAGTGCCCTGCATCCCCAGGGGTTTGGGACAGAAGGGGGGGCTCTTGCCCTGCCCGTTCTCGTGTTTCTTCTGCATCAGCCCCGAGTCCCCACAGCCCTCCTCCTGTCCCCATCCCCAGTTTGATGTTGTTAGAGCCTTGTATGCTCTGGCAGAATCTTGGTGACCGTGGGCAGAGGGACCTGGCCTGGGGTCCCCAGGTACCCACAGAGGACTTTGGGAAAGGCAGAGTCTACAGCTGAGGCTGTGTCTCCACAGCATGTGGAATTCCGGAAGCAGCAAGACCTGGACAACATCCTCACGTGGCAGCCCCCAGAGGTGAGCCTCACGCAGCATGCCCCAGGCCATCTGATGCCCCCTAGCCTCTCCTCTGTCCTCCACATCCAGCCTCCTGATGGAGCAGGGCCCCGGCTTGGTGGGCTGGTTTGTGTCAGAACCCTCCCCATGTGCCCAGGTAGTCCGGCTGTTCGACTCGGGTGGTCTGTGTGGCTACGACTACGAAGGCTGTCCTGTGTGGTTCGACATCATCGGGACCCTGGACCCCAAGGGTCTCCTCCTGTCGGCCTCCAAGCAGGAAGTGATCCGGAAGCGCATCAAGGTCTGTGAGCTGCTCTTGCATGAGTGTGAACTGCAGAGTGAAAAGGTGAGCAACTGGGGTATATGGTGGACCTATCTGTCTAAAGGACTGGAGAGGGGTGGCACCTGGCCCCACCCTGACCTCTCCCCAGCCCTCAGCATCAGGGGCAGTGGTGGAACGAGGACTTCTCCCACTGTCACCTGTCTATGAGCATGTAACATGTGTATGACTCTCTGCTGGCATGAGTCAAGGGTCCCCAAAGTTCTTTTCCCTCCACATGAGATACTGAACTTGGGTGCACCTCTGTTCCCCTGGAACCCTGGGAACAGTGGATGACCAGCTTTGCTTATGGAAAAGATGTCCCCTCATTGTAAATTGCATAACTACAGACACCTGATGGGCAAGCCATTACTCTGGGTATCCCTGAGAGCAGCAACCCTGGAAACTGGGCACATCCCTTGTGAGACCCTAGAAGCTACAATGGAGTTGCTACAAAAAATATTGAGTCCTGTGGGCTATGGGGCTTCTAGGTCAGGAAGAACACCACACCTGCCCTTGCAGGTCTCTTCTTGTCCCGGAGTCACCCTCTGACCCTCCATATGCTTCAGGGTGAATCTAATGCCAAGTGTGGCCTTGTTGGTTTGGTGACTCTAAGTGTCTAGGTGAGCCTAAGAAAAACTTCCCCCAGTCTGGTGGCAGCTGGTACATCACTATGACATGATTTGGCTAATGGCTGACTCCACTTGGCCAGGGTTCAGGACCTGAATCACCAATACTTAGCACAGGCTGGTCCTCAACAGAGATTTGTGACAAACATGCATGAATTGCAAAGCACTGTATTTAGTGCCTGCTTATATGTCTCTCAAACAAGATGGCTCATCTTACAGAGTTGACACACTGTCTTCCACTTCATGGGTATTCCCAATTAGAGCTGATAATTGTGGTGATGATGATACTAACATCTTGGCTGGATGCAGTGGCTCACATCTGTAATCCCTGCACTTTGGGAGGTGGAGGTGGGAGAATTGCCTGAGCCCATGGGTTCGAGACCAACCTGGGCAACTTGGCAAGACCTCGGCTCTAGAATAAATTTAAAAATTAGCGAAGTGTGGTGGAGCACTTCTGTTGTGCCAGCTACTTGGAAGACTAAGGCAGAAGAATGCCCTGAGCCCAGCAGATGGAGGCTGCAGGAGCCATGAACATGCCACTGCACCTCGAGGTGAGCCTGAGTGACAGAATGAGACTCTGATTAAAAAAAAAATCTCCTAACATTTACCAGGGACCAGCCATGTGCCAGGGACTGGACTCTTTCTGCATTATCTCCTTGGATTCTCCCAACAATTTTATCAGAACCTGGAATTATCTCCCATTTTATAGAGTAAGAAAGTAATGGTCAGATGGGTTGAAAACCAGCCCAAGGTCACACAGTGCACCAGCAGGGTAGCTCTGGGCTGGGACACAGCTGTGGGGCTACGGAACACTGCTTGATGTTGTATACTACTGTACATAAAGATGCCCAGTGAATAATGAACGCTGCCTTTAATTCTATAGTTGACATACTCCAGGCAGTAGCATTGAGAAATCTGTGATAACACAGTGAATCCAGGGCCCAGAGGCAGCATGTGCTGAGACCCTAGATGGGCTCCTTGTGTAGGGAAAACACCACGGACTGCCCGAGGGTGGGATGGCAGGAAGGTGGGCAGAGCTGCCCGAGTCTCTCTGGTTGAGATTTCTTGGCGGAACTGTCATCTGATCAGTATGTCTGCTCTGTCCGGTGCAGCTGGGCAGGAAGATCGACCTGGTTTTGATGGTGTTTGACTTGGAGGGGCTGAGCCTGAAACACCTGTGGAAGCCGGCAGTGGAGGTCTACCAGCAGGTAAGATGAGCGACTGGCTTGAGACCTGAGTGGCAACACTGCCCACACCAACCTGGAAGCCCTGGCCTGTGGAGCAGCGGGGATGCCCTCCAGAGGTTCCACAGACCAACCAGTGACCCTGGCCTGGGGCCCACCCTCCAAGGAGAAGGAGGAGCAACAGTAGCTCATGGGAAGGCAGGATGGCAGGGATGGGCCTCTTGTCTCAGCCTCAGAGGCCACAGAAATCCAGGGGTGGGGATGGAGCGGGGCCTCAACCAGACTCATCTGGTTTCTTCTGCTCCACAGTTTTTTGCCATGCTGGAAGCAAATTATCCAGAGATGCTGAAGAATTTAATTGTTGTTCGAGGTGAGCCCATGACTGGGATGACTTCCTGGGGAGGAAGAAGGGAGTGGGAAGTATAGTAGATAAAGTATTGAGTCCAGGACTTCTCAAACCACCTTTGGTGAAGAGCCGGTTTTCTGTTTGGATTCTTGTTTCTTTTTTTTTTAGTTCCAGTTCTTCACAGATGGACACTTTTGTAACATACAAAATCAAGGCTGGTATATTGCAGCAATGTCAAATAAGTTATAAATTTTACATGTGGACTATTATTTTCTTTAATTATTTCAGCCTGGACTGGTGGCAGACAGTCCATGGACCACACTGGTTGGTGGACACATTTTCAGCAGGAACAATCCCTTTCTGCGATGCCCATGTAGGGAGGGGACCACCACGTGTGCTCTGGAGTCAGGCGATCTAGGTTCAAATCTAGCTAGCTCTGTGACTTTGAGCAAATCTTTTTAATCTCACTGAGCTTCAGTTTTTCCATTCTGTGAAATGGGGCTACAACAGTACTCTCCCCATAAGACGGCTGTGAGATTCAGTGAGACAGTCTGTGGAGAAGATGCAGCACAGAGCCTGGCCTACAGACTGTGCTCAGTTGAGTCTGAACAACTCAGGGCGGGACAGGAGGTCTCATGCAAATACTCCACTACACATACCCAAGAAGGTTCCAAGGTGACCTGGGCAAACCTTGAGTGCGGAAGAGGTTCCATTAGGGAATCAACACTGCTGACCTTACAATGTCCTAACACCTTACAACTGGATTGGGGAGACAACAATCTATTGATAGACAGGCACTATGCCAGGTGTTACACATACATTATTCAAGCTTCATTTTACCGTGAACAGCATTAAGACTCAGAGAGGGTGAGTAACTTGATGAAGGTCACACATCAGGGAATGGCAGAATCCATATCTATCCAACTCCTGCCTAGCACATGCTCTTGGTTATGGCTCTATATACCCAAGTCCTCTCTGGTCCAGGTTCCTAAGGGGCTTTCTTGTGTTTCAGCACCCAGACTGTTCCCTGTGGCCTTCAACTTGGTCAAGTCGTTCATGAGTGAGGACACACGTAGGAAGATAGTGATTCTGGGAGGTGAGTGACTTGGCCTCTCAACTGTGTCCGTTTCCACATCAGCCTGGGAAGCAGAGGTCAATGCTACAGGCCCCATTTCTCCCTGACTCGTCCTCTCCTCAGGCGCTGACCCTGGCCAGACCCCAGTCGCCTCTAGCGAGACCTCAGTTCCCAGACCACAGGCTGGGAACAAAGCAAAGCCCTGGGGCACTCTCAGGAGTAGGCGTCTAGGGGAGAAAGCCGACATATGGGGTTCCCACAGTGGGCTCAGCCCCTGCACCATCTATTGAGTCTCCCAACGCCCTGGGTGTCCCCCTCTTGCTCCCACACAGACAACTGGAAGCAGGAGCTGCCCAAGTTCATCTGCCCCGACCAGCTGCCGGTGGAATTTGGAGGGACCATGACAGACCCCGATGGCAACCCCAAGTGCCTGACCAAGGTACAGGGTGCCCAGGGGATGAGGAGGAGGGGAGACCGCCATGGTCTAGTGCCACTTACCCCATTCACCCACAGATTAACTATGGGGGCGAGGTGCCCAAGAGGTACTACATGCACAACCAGGTGAGGACACAGTACGAGCACTCCGTGTCCGTGGGCCGTGGCTCCTCCCTGCAGGTGGAGAACGAGATCCTGTTCCCAGGCTGTGTGCTCAGGTAGGGCCGGTGGCCGCTCCACACCTGGGCACAGCCAGGAGGGACCCAGAGCCTGACCGGGTACTCACCTGTGGGGCTGTGTCATCCCCTGCAGGTGGCAGTTTGCATCAGATGGCGGGGACATCGGCTTTGGGGTTTTCCTGAAGACCAAGATGAGGGAGCGCCAGAGGGCTGGGGACATGATGGAGGTGCTGCCCAGCCAGCGCTACAACGCCCACATGGTGCCTGAGGATGGAAGCCTTACCTGCCTCAAGGCCGGGGTTTGTAAGTGTTGGCAGGGACCGCTCCAGCTGGAGCTGGGGTGGAGGAGAGCACCTCAACGTGCAGCCTTGGCCTACCGGGAGGATGGGAGGCTCACGCTCACCTGTCTCAAGGCCAGTGTCTGTAGGAGCTGCAGGGCTTACTGGGGTTTTCTTCCTCGTGGCAGAGAAATGAGCTGACTATCTCTTGCCAGTTTGTGCCCTCTGTTTGCCTGCTATTTCCAGCTCTCGGGGGGGGGGGACATGTAAGCTCCCACATCCCACGGGCTCCAGAGGAGTTGGCTTTGGGGTTGTGGATCTGATGAGTAGCCTCTACATGTTAGTACAAGGGTAGAGATGCATTGTGGAGGAGGAGTCGAGGTTCAGAGCCCAGGGCCTGGGGCTCAACTCCTGAGCCTATACTAGGCTCCTATACTAGGCTCATCAGGCTAAGAGATTGGTAGGCTTAGCATGGGCTTAGCATCAGGGCTCCAGCAAGGGGCCCTCCGAATGGCATGGACCACCTCACTCCAGGAAGCCCAAAGAGGTGTCTTCCTCCAAGTGTTTATCCTTAGCTCTGAGGCCTCCTGGGACAAATGCAGTTCAGTCAGTTTTACCAGAGCCAGCATTGCCCAAGAACACCACTGGCCTTTCACCTCCATTGAGAACAGAGCTAGGGGAAGGGGAATCCAAGGCTGATTTCCTAGGGAGAAGGAGAAGGCATGTTGCTAATGCTCTCATCAACACGTTATCTAGTTCCACTTTGTGGAAAGGACAATCAGGAGAGTGGAGACTCCTCACATCCCAGAGTTCACACTGGACCTTGGCCTTGAAGGAAATGCCTTCTGTGAGATGGAAGGACAGCTTGTGTAGCTCAGCTCCTTCCTCTAGGGGAAGCAAGGTTCCTCTCTGGGTTGGGACAGCAGGATAAGGGAATCCCTGTGCTCCCTTCCCTGCTCTGTGATCCCTAGAAAGTCATACCACCTCTCTAAGCCTCAATTTCCTCATCTGTAAAATGGGGATGGCGGTACCTTCCACATTGGGCTACTTTGAGGCTTCAGGGGACTGTGAATGCCTGTAATGTAATGCCTGGTTCATAGAAGGGGTTAGCATATGCTGGTGGTATCATGATTCATTCATTCATTCTTTATTTTTTGAGTCAAAATCTCACTCTGCTGCCCAGGCTGGAGTGCAGTGGCAGCCACTGCACTTGACCTACTGGGCTCAGGGGATCCTTCTGTCTCAGCCTTCCCAGTAGCTGGAACTACAAGCATGTGCCACCATGCTCAGCTAATTTATTTTTAAATTTTTGTGCAGACCTGGTCTCACCAAGTCTTTTGTACAGGCTGGTCTCAAACCCCTGGGCTCAGGCAATCCTCTCACCTCTGCCACCCAAAGTGCTGAGATTGCAAATGCGAGCCACTACACCCAGCTATTTATTTATTTTTGAGCTCACAGCAGCCTCAACCTCCTGGGCTCAGGTGATCCTTCCTCCCAAGTAACTGGGACTATAGGCATGTGCCACCACACTCAGCTAATTTATTTTTTATTTTGTACAGATGAGGTCTTGCTATGCTGCCCAGGCTAGTGGATTCCTTTATGTAGCACAAGCATCACTCATGAGATGGTAATGAGCCATCCATGATTGGGTTTTGGGCTGTGGCCGGCCCTCAGGCCCCACCCACAGTCCTGGACAGCCCATTCCCGAGGGTACCAGGAGTGCAGACATGCCAGGCTTGCTCTGCCTGTCACCTCTCTGTCATTGCAGATGTCCTGCGCTTTGACAACACCTACAGTCTGATGCACTCCAAGAAGCTCAGCTACACTGTAGAGGTTCTGCTCCCAGACAAGGCTTCCGAGGAGAAGTTGCAGGGTCTCAAGGCCACGAGACCCTCCCCAACGCAATAAAGACCCCAGCTGCCCTGCCTCTGCTCTCCAACCCCTTCCTGGCCCCCCTGGCCTCTGCCCTCTCAAGCAGGGTGGTGCTAAAGGTGGCCACAGAGTGTGACCTACCCCACATCACTATCTCGGCTCATGGTGGAACTGCCTAGCACAGTGGCCAAGCAGGAAGGACACATCCGATGCCTAGGCCACCCTGAAAATTCAGTTGGGCATCCGTCTCTGTTACCAGAGAATGAGAATGAGAACAAGAACCCTGAGCATAAGCCAGCATTCACTGTGGAAGGTCCTGCTGCAGAAGCTGACCTTGCACCCCTCCTGATGAGAACCAGCCATCTCAGGACTCACCCACGCCCAGGGGTTCTAGCTTGAGGGTGTGTGTGCCAGACCTAAGCCCTGCAGGCAGCACTGGTCCCGGCCCAAAGAGCAGGGAAGCTCCATTCTCTACACGTGAGAGGCCAGCAGGGATGGGCAGGGCCACTGGAGGCAGCTGGGTGGGAAGATGGGGCGGGAATGAGGGTCCCAGCTCCAGCAGATTGAGTCCTGTCCAAGTTTGTTCTTTCGTCTGTGAGGCCCAGCAGGGGTAGCCATCAGACAAAAAAGCCATGCTCAGACTTCCACAAAGTTGAGTGGGTAATGACTGAGTTTCTGGGGAATTCCCGTGACCTCCCCTCCACACCTGCTGGTATCCTGCTGACATTTGGCTTTGGTTCTTTCTGACTCTGAGTGGAGGCCAGGACCAAGACAGAGCTGGAGCCAGATACTGGGATGCAGAGAGTGGAGCTGCCACCCTAGGGAACTCATCCTGGCCTCTGACTTGCTTCTTCGAGAACTATCAAGCTTTTTCTCCGTCTTTGTATCTTGCCAAGGGGACAACAGAAAGTTGGCTTCCAACACCCCTCATGCGACACAGCAGTTGGCCATTGATGGCTTCTGAATGTAATTTATCAAAGGTTGGCCTTCCTGATGCCCACAGCCCACAGTCAGGACCACCGCCTCTCTGCTGGGTGACTGCACCCACAGCAGACCCTGCCCTGGAATGAGCAGAGGAAGCTGCCAAGCTCAAGCTGGGTGTGGCTCTGCAGGTTGACACCGATGAAGCCTTAACCCCGGGCCTGGGCCACCAGGCTGTGCTGCCCTGCCTCCTTCCCACGCAGCACCCTGCCCTCTGGCTGGGTGAGGCCAGCGCATCCCACTGGGGTGGCTCAGCCCACGGGTGGTTACTCCTACTCTCCTTGTTTGTCCTTCTGCATTGCTGTCCACAGGGCAAAAGAGTGCTGTCCACACAGGTGATGTCATTGAGAGTGAGTGATTAGAGGTCCCTAGGTAGGGGCTCCTTGTTGCAAAGCATTAGCATCCTGACTGCCAAGGCCCTTCCAGAGACTGGAAGCCTCATCAAGCACCACCTGTCCAGGCGCTTTGCAAAGCAACAAGCCAGGCCCCTTTCCTGCTCTCAGATTCTGTGATTTTGTTTTCTCCAGTTAATAGGCGCTTTCTCAGGTACCCAGGACCTGTTTCAGGTGAGAAAATGACAACGCTTGGAAGGGTGGGGATCTTCAGGTGAGCTGTGTCGGGGGTCCTGGGGCAGTTGTGCCATTCATGGGTACACACATACAGAGTCTGAGCAGGGCCTCTGAGGCTATAAAAAGCAAACTAACTGCCGGGCTCAGTGGCTCAGCCTGTAATCCCACGCCTTTGGGAGGCTGAGGTGAGTGGATTGCCTGAGCCTGTGGGTTCGAGACCCGCCTGGGCAGCAAGACCTCATCTCTACCATAAATCAAAAAATCAACCGGGTGTAGTAGCGCGCGCCTGTAATTTCGGCTACTTGGAAGGCTGAGGCGGAAGGATCGCCGGAGCCCAACAGGCCAAGGCTGCAGTGGCCGGAAGCAGCCACTGCACTCCAGTCTGGGCGACAGAGTGAGAGACTCCAACTCAAAAAAAAAAAAAAAGAATACTGTACACCTGAACAACTCTCTCAATCAACATGACCTAACTGACATTTATAGAATATTCCATCCAATAAAAGCAAAATACACATTCTTCTCTAGTGCACATGGGAAAAGATTAAATTAATTATTTGGCTTAATCTTTACCAAAGGAAACTGAAGGGGGAGTCCTCATTTCCAAATTATTTTTTGATCAAACTAAGACAAAGTATCAAATCAAAGGATGGCAACTCTTCATTATATGATACTCTAGAATTAAAGGACAGAGTGAAGATAATCACTGAGAATGAAAGCATCTACCCAAGAGTTTTCATGGAACTCAAAGGAGAAAATGTACAATTCTAAACCAAAAGATTCAGCAAATTATTAAACAAACGTCCTCTGTAGGTAAGGAATAGTGCAGAACTAATAATATAAAAAATATATAATGTAATCCATATCATATATAACATAACAACCCACTTGCCATACAAGCTGGTGAGCACTATAGTTAAGAACAGAGGCTGGGCTCGGTGGCTCAGCCTGTAATGCTGGCACTTTGGGAGGCCAAGGCAAGTGAATTGCCTGAGCCCATGGGTTCGAGACACACCTGAGCAACTTGGCGAGACCTCGTCTCTACAATAAATCAAAAAATTAGCCGAGTATGGTGGCATGTGTCTGTAGTTCCAGCTACTTGGAAGGATTGCCTGAGCCCAGCAGGTCGAGGCTGCGGTGGCCGTGAGTGTGCCACTGCACTCTGGTCTGGGCGACAGAGTGAGATTCCAACTCAAAAAAAAAAGCAAACTAACTAAACGAAATGTCTAAAGCCAGTGCCATGAAGCATTCTTGGTCCAATAGAGTGTTTGAGCAGATTGGCAAAAAAAGAAAGAAAAAAGAATAAAAATGGCTGTGCTGGCTCCAAGGAATTGGGCCTGGACTGTCGGGTAAGAGTTACAGGACATGTCCATGTCCAAGGGCTACCCCTGCATGTGAGATGTAAAAGGAACCATGTGGCCACCCTCTCTACTGCCCCCCCAGAGGCGGTAAGATCCGGAACCCCCAGAAGCACTTGAGCTTCCATGGCCGGCTGTGGCCAACCAGGGTTGGGGGACCATGTGCTAGATTTCACTGGCCCCACTTGTTGACGTGGCGGGGGCTCGCACTGTCTCACTTCCACCTTCACATCTCCTAAAAACGAAAGGTTTCTCCTAACTATGCTCAGACAATTTGCCACCATCATAGTCTCATCCGGTTTTCTTGCAGGGGGCAGAGATGACTCTGCCCCAGGCAAAGGGTTTCCCGAGTCTCTGATCATAGAGAATATCCACAGATCTGAGCTGCCTGAGGGTGGCGAGAAACAAGGGATCAGGTGGAGGCACCAGCGACCAAATCCCAGAGCTGGCAGAGCCTGCCTCATGGTTATGCAGAGAGCGCAGTGATCACCTGCAGAGGTGAGAGCAGAATTTTTCACCAGGCATGGTGGGCAGGGGCACACTGGGCACTCGGCAGGGCATATATCCTCAGCAACTCCATCTCCAACTCTTAACACTGTCCCTTTTTTACAAAAATTTAAAAAGGAAGTTGCCCAGAGATAGGTGCTGGCTTGCCCCAAGTGTGTTTCTTTGTTTATCCATTGGTTTGTCAATGTTGACTGAGTATCTGTCCAACACCAGGCAACACAGATCCTGGAGACTCCGAGGACACTGGGCTGACCCAACTCTGCTAACAAGAGGTTTGCTCTGATGGAGGGAGGCGGGTAGAAGTGACTCTGGTGACTGGTTATCAAATGGGTGTGCCATCACCTCACTTGCTTTGGGGGACTGGAGCCGAATTCTGGGGGAGCACCCAGCAAGGAAAACTAATGAGGGATCAGATGCACCTTGCCCAAGGAGCTGACGCCCTGAGACAGATGTGTTGGATGTCGGATGTGTGGGGTGATAGCAAATGAGCCTTCCAGACTGAGGACTGGGGTGTGGCAGCTGGGGGTGGGGTGTTTGGGCAGGAGGAAAGCTGGAAGGGCTCTTCTGACCTTGGGCAGCTCTGGTCACAACTCCCCAGTGTTTGCTGTTCCTTCATGAACAACTATGTACACATTAGATAGTTGTTCATAACACCATTTTGTAATGCCAGTTACAAATGGAACCTTGGTGTTTGTCAGAAAGGAATGGCAAAATCTTGGCAGGATGCCCCGGATCAAAACTCTTGCTCAAAATGAGGTGGCTGGAAATACCAGGCCTCACCTGTCCAGGGAGTGGAGGTGGTACTTACCCGTCCCAGCCGGTCGCCTTGCCGAAAGTCCCTAGTCTTTGAGGTGAGGCAGGTGGGGAGCAGGTGGGGGATCCATGGGGATGTCTTAATGGTGGTTGGAAAGGTTCCCCTGCCCCTGTTCCACTGTGACTCTCAGTGGGAAGTGATGGTGCCAGCTGGAGTAGACTTCTGAACACCTACTGTGCACCAGGCCCAAACCGAGGCAAGAAGCATCATCTCCAGTTTACAGATAAGGAGAGTGAAGGCCAGGACAGGAAGTGTCACACGACATAAAGAGGAAGAGACAAGATGCAAACCTGGGCCCGTGCATGCTGATGGTGCCAGAACTTGATCACATTCTGGTAGGAGAGGAGGCAGACAGGCTAGGCCCAAAATGAGTGATGCCGGTTGGGAGTAGGGGGAATGCTCTGCCTCTGGCCACCAGGGGGCAGTGCTGGGCTAGCCACCACTCTGTCCACCAAGGCGGCCCTTGGTATTGACGCATTGAAGAGCAATTTACAGGCAGGTTGAGGAGAGGCCAAGTTCACCAGGCCCAGGTTGTTTGTGAGACCTCCTGGACTAGCAGAAAGAGGTGGTCTGACCTTGGTCCAGATCCTGGCTCTGCCACTTGCTGACTCCCTTTCTAAATACCTCTGGACTCCATTGCCTCCTGCTTGGATGATTAGAAGAGGGTTTATGGGTCTCCCTGTATCCATTCCTACCCCACCCCCTCCCTTGTAGACTCCACAGGGCAGCCAGAAAAATCTTTCTGAAGTGAAAAATCTGATCCTGTCACTCCCTGCATAAGCCCTTCTCTGCCTCTCCATTTCCTGCAGGTAAAATCAGTGTTGTTGGTGGCTT